GAAGAAATTCATTGAAAATCATAACCACCCTCTGGCCGAAAGTGATGACAAACATCTTCTACGTTTCAGTAATAAGATAAGCGAGTCAAGTGCAGATGTGCTGAGATTAATGACAGAATCAAGAATCAGAGCAATAGATGCATATAACTTTATGGCTACAGAGGTTGGGGGGTGGAGAACTTAGAATTCACGGAGAGAGATGCATTCAATTTTATTCAAAGAGAATGAATGGAAAGAATAGAACAAGGAGATGTCAATTCTCTAATACAGTTGTTTATAGAGAGGCAAGCTGAGGATACCATGTTTACCTGAGATTTTGAAAGAAATGAGTGTGGTAGACTCACAAGTTTTTTTGGAGCGACGAGTTATCCGTGCTTGATTATGATTATTTTGGAGAAGTAATAATTTTTTATACAAGATATAGATTAATAAGTATAATTTATGTTGCGCTTCTTTTGTAGGGGGAACCACCATTAGCAAAACGTCCTCTTTGGAGTGGGCTTTCGTCTGATGAGACCATTGAGTCGTTCATTTGGTTATTCAAAGCATTTATCTGAATAATGGGTAACAAACATCCAATGACAATTTTCACCGATCAGGATCAAGCGATGTTATGAGCCATTAAAGATTATTTTTTTTAAAACTGTTGTTAGGGTGGACAATGAGTTTTCAACATTAGACATTTGTTAATTCATGGTAATCATAGATTCTTGTTTACTTATATTTATTTGTTCCTGAGTTTTAAGTAGTTCGGTTATTGCTTCAAATTTATTTCTTTTCTTTGTATGTGTTGGTTCTAGGATTCATAACTTGAAATGATTGAACTCACACCATGAGATTTGGGTGACGGTGGTTTGACCGGAGTTTGACGACGTGGGAGAGGCCTTGCAGGGCTGGGTGGTCCCTGCTCTGGATTGGACAACAACTGTAGCCATCTTACTTCAAGTTTACACGGGTGTCATTAACATAAAATGAAAATCATAATGTCTAAAGTAAATTCAGTAAAACAACTTTGTGAAAACCTAACACTAAGAAAATCTTTTAACGCAATAAATAACTTACATGTGCATGCTCAAGCCTCTTAAAGTTTTCATCAATTTGTAATGCTGTTTACACATGAATTTTTTACCACCTCAACATTCGAAGTCTAACCTCGGGTGCGACTGGAGTATAGAGAGATGTGTGCTTAAAAAATCAAAGGTACGGATTAGATATATCACAAACAAATCTATCAGAAAAATATATATATATAAATTCAAATGAAAATTTTTTTAATGTTGACAATATTAACTTATAGTTAAAATAAAAACAAATATGTTAATGTGCCCAAGTGGCTGATTCTATCTTATTTTGATCGCAAAAATATTCAATTGATCGATTATAAAATAAAAAATAACAGCAAACCAGTTATAAGAGAAGGTCTGTGCGTTCTCTTCAAATGAATAAAGTCCTACGAGCGCATCAAAATTGCTCGAAGGAAAAAATAAATTTGTTAATAAAAATTTAATAAATAATTGCTCTAAAAGCGTGGAAGACTTCTTAAAAATTTGTCAAATTTTCTTTTATTGCTCTCATATCTACACGAAATGTGGGTGTTTTCCTCCAACTAACTGCTTCTCCTCTGTTGGGCATGTCTAACAACAGCGCAACATGGACAGGGTGGAGTTTAACCACTTTCCCATCCATTACAAACACTCTCCTTTCATGATTTCAAAATTCTAAGATATGTAGGGTCAATACATTATCTTGGGGATAAAGAGACATATTAAAAAACTGAATGACATTTATTTCTCTTAACATGTTCATGATCTCCTCAGAGACGTGTCTAACAGTATCAAGTGAACGGGTCACTGCATAAGAAATGCATCTACAATTGAAAGTCCTTGCGTTCATAAACCTACAACAACAATAATGTAAAATGGGGCATTATTTTATAGACATCACTCTTCAAGTTGTGTTAAGTTGTATTATAGATGTGTTATGATTCTGTAAAATTTGTGTTATCGATGTGTTATGGTTATGTTAATGTTGTATTCTTATTGTGTTATTATTGTGTTATAATTGAGTTATTACTGTATTATTGATGTGATATAGTTGTGTTATGGTGTGTTATGTTGTTTTATAGTTGTGTTAATGAAGTTTTATGATTGTATTACAATTGTGTTATGGTTGTGTTATGGTTATGTTATTGTTGTATTATTGCATATTATAGATGTGTGATTGGTGTTATTGCAGTGTTAGTAGGGTAATAACATAAGAAACACCACAATAACACAGAATAATACAACAATAACACAACAATAACACATAATAACACAACGATAACACAATCATAACACAACCATAAAACTTCGGTAATACAATCATAACACACCATAACACAATAATATCACCACAATTATAACACAATAATACATCAATAACACAACTATAAAACCATAATACAACAATAACACAATCATAACACAACAATAATACAACTATAACAAATTAATAACACAATTATAACACAACAAAGATCATCAGACAACTATAACCATAACACAGTCATAAAACAATGAGTAAAACATTTTTTATCTATAATAAACAATATAGCATAATACCTCAAAAAATTTGGGAGACCGCTAGCTTCTTTAGTTCCCTTGTGACCTTCCATTGTTATGTGCTAGTAAGAAGAAAGGAAAACCGAATCTTAGAATCGTGGGTTTGTCGATCGACGCAATGCTCCAACTTATAACCACCATGCGTTGTGCCGAAGAGGAAGTGAAACGATCCAGGAAACCCTAGCTATTTCCGCCGAAGAGAAAGGGAAATCGCCGAAAACGAAACGACGAAGAACACTCGAAACCATCGAAAATCGGAAACCGAAGAACATAATGCCGAAATATTTCATAAATGTGTTTTTTGTCTGGATTGGCATTTCAGTGGGCTTGATTCGGGCGTATCTTCTAAATTTTGTCCGCGTTGGGGCCATTGATTTGGGCCGGATCACACTAAAGTATTTTTTTTAATATTTTTTGCCAGTGGTTCCCCATTGCTCCGTTGACTTTTTTTCATTGGACTCCATCTCTTCGTGCGGAGTCGAAGTCCAGAGGTAATATTTTTTTCCTTTTCCTCAGCCTTCTTTACACAAGAAATCCACGAAAATCATTTCCTTGCTTGCTCCATTTGGTGTGATGGGCGTTCAACAAAACTCTTCGTCTTTGTTCCCTTCTCTGTCTCCGTCTCCTTCACAAGCTTCGATCACACGAGCAATCGTTCGCTTTGACATTTCTCAACTTTGTCAACTTCTCCATTTGCTCTTTCGATGGTACCTCCCTTCCTTCTCCTTCATAGAATCCAATCACTACATCAAAACCTCGATCACAATTGTCCATTACAATGCGTGAAATCACTATCTAGGGCATAACATAAATCACACTCCAAGCTTTGTGTCGTCACTTCTGCTCGAGAATTCGCCAATCACCCTCTAATTTTTCTTGTCGCACAAATCGTTCGCACGAGTCATTGTTCAACACTAGCACCTCCGACTTTGTTTGACGATGTCACCTCCTTTCTACTTGTCTCCTTCACACAGCTCTTTCACAAGTCATTTCATTTCGAAAGAGTTTTCGTTCCTCTTTTTTAATGATGAAACGTCTCATTCCTTACCCCACACTTGTAGCGCTTGAGTTATGCAAAATAATCAAGCACTACAGCATATTTTAAACCAATTCTAGTTTAATTGTAACTATCGGGGGTAACTTCCCGTGAAAAACTTGTCTTGGGGTCTTCAGTTATGTTTTGTGATATTTTTTTAATCTGGCATGAACTCTCAACATCCATTACCTTGGCATCAAATCACCATTCTTTTGTCAAATTTTTAATTTACTTTATCAATTCTCCAGTTGTTTTCCGGCTCATAAATTTTTTTCTTGGCGGTATGCTCAAGTTGCATATATATCAAAGACCTACTGTACTCAGTTAAAATTGAGTTTGGGTGAAGAGTACTGTCATTTGAATCAAATGTAAGTTGAAATGGATTTCAATGTTTTATGATGGATAGTTTTTACTTGAATTGGACGTAAAGATTAGTTCTAGATCCAACAAAACTCACACCCATTTGATTCGGCATTTATATACATGATTATGTGAGGAATCTAAAATACTACAAATTTTCTTAAAAAATAACCAGCAGGTTGTTTTAATATTTGCACTATTAAGTCTTTTCTATTCCATTCATATCTCAAGGAAGAGGGCTTTTTCTTTTGCTTGATTTTTTGGTCGCTATCTCCTCCATAGTGAGGAAATGGGAGCAAGTTTTGGGGAACAAAAGAACGATATCTCCCTTTGTTTTTCTATTTCTACTATATCCATAGTGTTCCGTGTTTTAGGAAGCTCTTATGATGTTAAGATTGGACTTCTAGTGATACTTCTGGTAGCTGAGATTTCACTTTTTCATGTAAAAGGGTTTGTGCATCCAATATTTTATTTTAGTGCTAGAATAAATCATTTTCTTAGTTCTTAGGAATTATTCTGAAAAATTGAGCACATTATATTCTTTGTGATTACTTGGAATTTATTTTTAGTGTTATTTTAGTTATTTAATAGCAATTCATCTGGATATCATTTACATGTTTCTAGCCTGATGGTTTGACGAGGCATGCACATTGAAGTTGCTACTTCTTCATTCTTGTAACTTTTATATGAAGGGCATTCCAGGCTACTTCCATCTAAATTCTGAGATTTATTTTTGTATAGCTAATTTAAAGAAATGTGCCATCTGCTTGTTTTTATTACTTTCTTTTGTTGATTTAAAAATTTGAGCTATCTAAAATTTTGTTTGTTCTTTAAAAGCAGGATTTCAAAAATAAATTTAAAAATTTCTGTCATAATTGTTTTATGAAACTACGAATTTCTTATTTGGGTATAAATATAAAATGCTACGGTTCGCTTGACATTTATCTGTGTATTTTATTGATTTTATATTTACTTATACCTATATTTATCTGTTGGCACAGGTCAACTTTGTGATTGATGAAAGATTAAGGAATAAAACATACAAACATAAGGTCTTGCTTTTCACATTATTCTTTTTGTTTTTTGTTTTATTCTTCCACTGCTTTAGTTGTTTACATGGAAATGCTCAAAATAGTCAGTTAATTTTCTACTTAAGCAATGTCATGTGATGTACTTCTCTTGGATATAGATGTTGCGTCGATCAAATGAAGCATATATTATAGAAGGCATACATTGGGCTTCATGGCGCGTCTTCTAATTTAGGATTTGGAGAGGTTTATGTGTGTCAATACTACATTTTAAAGTTTTTTAAATGACTTGAAAATGGGCATCAGAATATACTAGAAGAAGCTAGACCATTGCTACATACTTATTTTATATAATCAATTAATTATGCACAATAACAATGGTGATTATATCTTATTTGTAGTCTTGGATTGTCCATCTTTATTGGGACAAACATACGAAAAAGTTGAATTGTTCATGACTTTAATTAAGTAGTTTAGAATCTAAAAACATAAACTAATTATTTTTTATCTTTGGTTCCTCTTATCAATTTTTTATTTATCTGAATGATGTTGGACTATTTCTTGCCTACATCAGGTTTTTTTTATTTTTTATTTTTTGAATTCATAGTTGCCAATACAAATGTTTCGTCAAAAGTGCTAAGGTTTAAAATTATTAGAGGCACAAGGTGCTGTACATGTGCTTATCATGGGCTCCTAAAAATGTTATCATAATGAGCAAATTCTTCTTAAATTTTCAGTATTTTAATTAGTTTTTTTTCCTACTATTATGGTTGACTCTCTGAATCCTCATTCTCTATTTGTCCGTTTTGTTTCTATCGATTATTGTTTGAGATGTTAAAAATTTTTTTTTGAAATTCTTTCTGTATAACTTAACATCCATGTTATTTGGTTAATCGTGCTATCTTTGTATTCTTTTAACATTTATTTTTTGAAGCAATCTTCCTTTTTCTTAATGGACAAGCTGTGTGTGTCCTCTCTATAGAGAAAGTAAATATTACAATTACAAAAATATGTATCCTCTATAGAGACAGTAAATATTGCAATTACAAAAATCACAAACAATAATAGCACAAACGAAAGAGTGCAAAACTAAGTATAAAACAAAAATAACTTTAGAGGTCTCAAATGAGTCGTTCTTTTCTTTCAGATATTGATTGATAGTAGAGGATTTCCCATTTTTAGTACAGAAATAACTTAGGTTGATTTTGAACCATGTGATTTTTTTTTCTTTTTCTTGTTACAAAAACATCTATCATTCATTTCATTCCAAAGGGTTAAGAGAAGAAAATGTACATGCATTGTCTTGACTCAGCCTAGGAGCTTGAAATTACCATGAAGGGAATTGTAGGTAAGATGGAGAAAACTACTTAACAGTTTTATTTTATAAATAAAATGATCGAAAACACAAAACACAAAAAAGTCATTCTATTGCAAAAATTTTAATTTACAACCGTCCATAAAGATGTCTAATTTTTAGAACTGACGGGAAATAAGCATTAAAACTTAACATCTATCAATGTGAGCACTTCGACATCTGTATACATATTCTATAGGATTCATTTATTTTTTATTTGATTCTCTTGTAAAATATTAGCAACTGGAGGCGTGGGTTAAACGACTCAGTGTATAAATTATTTCTAACTTATAATAGTTCTCATTTAAAAAAATTATAAAAAATTGTAAGCAGTAAAAATATTATGATTAGTGAAAAAAGTTAAAAAAAAAATTATTTTATTTATTTTTGTTGCAACTTTTGTTACTGGGAGTCACCTTTTAAACGTTTATTTAAAAAAATATATATGTTTTTCTTTTCCAAACGCACTTAAAAGGTGTGCATTCTTTTTTTTTTTTTTCATTTTCATTTTTTGCAAGGAGATATTGCATCTCTCAACCGTACTATCTTGGGATGACTTCATATGCATGTTTCATGAACTTAACTTTTAAAAAAACATAAATTTTATTTTTTAAAAGACATGTTGGTAATTGTAAAAATGTCTAATTGCTTTCATAAATAAATATAATTATTGTAAAATAATAACATATTTACCCACATGTACAACCTGTAGTTGATTGTATGTTCCTCAAAAGAAACTAGACCTTAGGTGAACCTATAGTGACAATTTAAACTTAATTATCTTATGTTCATTTTATATATTTCTTTATATTAATTTCTCACTTCACCATTAATATCTAGATACATTCATTTGAAATAGACATTTATTAAAAAAGGTTGAGTAGCTTCAAAGGCATTATTGGCAAATTTCTATTTCATTTTTTACACGTGCAATATGTTTCAATTTGCTTAATGTAAATTGATACTATTTTCACTGTCTCTCTGATATAGTTGTTTCTCAGCTCATCTTTCCAGTATTTTCACGCATCAATATTAATGTTATTTTTTCCTGAAAAAAATTTCATAAAAAAAAAAATTCTTACATAACACAAGATGCTATAACTATGTGATAAACTCAAGCAAATGTTTTTTAAATAATATCTTTATATTAATTTTGAAATATTGTAGGGAATTTTATTTCATAATTTTTGTTGAAAATAGGAATAAGAAAGATTTCTAGGGTCTATTTGCTGGAAAGCATTAGTAGTGTAAACTAAATACAAGGGGTTGTGGAAACTTAGGTTTTTGTTTGGTAGGGAAACAACTGTAAACTAATTTTCTTAGGAGTTTGGAGTACACTGCTTGCTTTATGTTCAACATATTTGAGATTTGCCTCAATCAATGAATTAAAAATTACTGCTTGTGCGGCCTTACAATTATTTTACCTGATGGTGACCTTCACGTTGCTTTGTGATGTCACTGATTTGCACAACATGGCATGACTATGTGGCAACCTAACTTGACTTGTAATCACTGCTCAACGACCCATGATCCTTACATGATCCTTACATGCGCAACCCACCTAATTGCTGATTTCTTCCTCTATTTCCATCATCGTTATCCCATTATCATGCACTAAAATCTCCTTCAGCATTTCCAACCCGCCCCGCCCCTTGCCAGCATCCCTTCCCTTAAAAAAAAGGGAAAAAATTTTGATTTACAGAAGTCATCCAAACACCAAGAAAATGTAAGCTTCTGAATTTATTTTATAATCAATTAAACACTATAAAGTTATTTCTATCGTTGTGTTTGCATTATATTTTAAATATATATGAATGTTAAACTTGCAAATAGATATCCCATAGATATGCATTAAATTTTAATAAATTGAATAAAAATGGTACTACAGTATAAAGAAATGCCCTTAAAAAAATCAGCATAAAGAAATGGCATAAAGTATAAAGACATCATTACTGCATAAAGTAGAAATCCTTAAGAGAACTTGAAAATAACATTATTAGTATAGGATCAAGCTTAGCATTAGTGGCCTTCTATCCTTTGCCATAAAGGAAGAAGTGAAATCATACATGTTAGTAGTGTCAAATGGTGCACGCGGTATTGCATTGCCCACCTTTGATACAATTTGCATGATGTGGTGCGAGGGGTTAAAATGGCATGCATAATACATGCTACTTTTATAAAAACTTGAAATTAAGTTTAATTTTATGCATATTTATTAATTTAATTTTATTTCGGTTAGTTATTAGGGCATCATTTTATTTTATTTTATGAATTAAACTAGATGAACACAAAAGCTTTGGACCTCCCCTATTTTATTTTATTAATTTACTTGCAAACTTATATAGAAATTTCTTTTTCTTATCTGTCTTTTTGTTTATTAAACAATGGAATTTGGTATCATTTTCTCTAAATTAGGATTGAGTAATACTTGAAATATTAGATATCAAAATTTCTAATGATTTTATGGTGTTAAAGAATTAGATGTTTAAATGATTATTAGAATTCATACACCTATTTGAATTTGAATATGTGCTTATCAAATTATCTGTTCACTTTGAAATATTGCTTTCAAGCAGTTCACTAAATTTTTTTCTTATTTATATCATCAATTTTATTTATTTTTTGAAGCGCTGAACTTGAACCGAAGCATCGCATTAGTTATTTTCATTATCATAATGGTTTGTCATTCACTGTAGTAATCTTTCATATTTAGCCGTATGTTTATTTTTAATTTCTAATACTCTGCATGTTTAACATTATGTGTGCCTTATCATGTGCTGTCCACTATGGCTACATATGAAACTTTGCACTATGTTGCCTTATTCACTATTCTGATCAATGCTGAACACCACCTGGTTTTTCATTTTTGAAATTTGAAGATTAAAAGCGAAAGTGGATAGTACTCCTAAACATACTAAGGATGAAAAGTATGCATTTCTTATTTCAGTTCTATGAAAGGGTTTTATTTGCAATGTAAAATCCTAGTGAGATGAATATAAAATTATATTCATGTCTAAATCTCCCTTAAATATTTTAAACTATAGGGTTACTTCAAGTCTGCCAAGTTTGAAGTACTCATTTTTCCATAGATAAAGGCTGAACATCTTAGTGACTGCACAGAAATTGTCATTTACAGTGTTTAGTTTCAATTTTATTTAATGATTTGTTGACTAAATCCATTTTTGTTTTGACCGTTGGAATTTGTTAATGCAGGATACCTTGCGTGCTTTAAAATCCTGTTTAGGTAGTGATAAAGCTTTCCAGTATGCACAATATGTAAGATATTTCTGAATCTCAAGAAAATATTTTTTTTTTATCTTACCTAATATCAGTGGATGAGCATTTGCATTGTTTAGGTTTTGAGGTGGGAGCAGATCCCTACTTACAGGCGTTCTCATTTGATGCGAGAAAAGCAGGTCAGCTGTTGACAATATTTGGCATTTACCTGGATCTAGTAAATAAAAATCATCATTTGCTATGTTTTTTAGCACGATTTGAAAATTCTAAACTACGACCTTATGCTTAAAAATAGCTTCCCAGTGATTGGCCCGTGATGGTTAGAATTCATTAGTTTTAGGGTATCTTGTATATTTACGTATTCATGTACCTCTTACTTTCTTTTAGGCCCTCTATTTAAGGCATTGCAAATAAGAATGTGAAGTACGTGTAATTATGCAATTTCTGCTTATATAATTGAGGAAATGTAATGTCAGACTGCCATATATGATGCAAGAAAGGCATGGTTGTCATATTACTTTACATATTAAGAAAACATTAAACATTTATTTCCTTGGAAGTTTAATACATTTTAGGAATGTTATCAAACCCATTGTCAAACCTCAACTGACCCTCGCTTTAGGGTCAACCGTGGTGCAACAAGGGCGAACAATTCCGTCAAATTAAATTCTCGCCAACATTCGTCTTGACTTCTATAATCAACACCTTTGGGTAACGAATCAGACTAACTAAATCACTGCGAACGCACATGATACATTTTAATTTATAATTCATTCATATTCACATATACTTGGAAGCGTGAAAAATTATATCCTTAAAACATATATACAAAAGTGCTAAATCCACAATAATAAAAATATATACCCAAAAGTCTATATAACCTTCAAAACTATGTAATATAAAAATTGTATATATCACACATGACTACTCATTTTGGTGCTCCTTATTCCTTCCTGAAAATCAACAACATAGAGTGAGCTATAAAGCTTAACGAAATAATCAAGACTAAATTAATATTTCATAAACAAAAAAAGAAGGAACGTGCATGAAAATCATGGCTCATATGTGTGACGGGAAAACATATCACATGCTTTGATCGAGTAAAACATTTGAAGAAAATTATGAAATGTGGTAAATCGTAGATGTATAAAACATGTATCTCGTTTATTAATGTGCATTCATAGGCATATCCATAAAAATTTTATACTCAATCATTCTAATTATAGGAATGTCACTTGTAGTTCTATAGGTTATGACTGTTTTCTTGATGGCTAGAAGACTAATTAATTATTGATAAGTGTTGAGCCCCTTTCAACGTAACATTTATCAATAACTCTCATGATATCAATGATTCCCGACTTTTTATCTCTGTCTGAACCCAATGGTTCCCAAATTTCATCACGTTTGAATATCGTGAGTCGGGAATCTCCTCATTCTCTACCATCCGTACTTGCAGGCATTCATGTAATGCCATGTCTATTGGAACTTTTGTTAAATTTATGTAATCATAATTCCTGTAATAAATAATCATAAGCAAATCATAATCTTATGCATAATCAACATTAAATGAATACCTACTTGCAAGCGAATATTTCATAAACATGCTCACGTGTCAATAAATAAGAAAATCATAATTATCGTCAGTGTCAATTCAACCTGGCATTTATGTACATTTGCAAGTATTCAAAGATATTAGAAAATTTTAAATTCATTCATACATCACAAGAAATCATATTAAAATCCTAGCAAAAGTTATTATTTTTAATTTAGCACATGATAGTTTCACCTGAATCGACGGGGCAACCCTACGATGAGCTCCCTGCAGCCCGCTTCAATCTCGATGCCTACTATAAATAACCTATAATTCATATTCCCTTTTGGAAATCATAAAATTTTAGCTTATGTTTTCACTTAACCCAAATCATAACATATTTTTCACGCCTTACCTCAAATAAACTTCCTCGCATAAGTATCCTTTCCTAAACATTTTCTTACTCTCAATCCTTCCTTTTTTCCCTTGCTCTTCGTTGATTTCTGTGAACAACACTACCAAGAGGCCAAAAATAAAATTTGAAGATTTTGGTTACACTTTTACCTCCTTTTACAGGAAACGGGAATGCAGAGATGCCCCCGAAGTGTGGAAACCCTAACAAAAAGATCATAGAGAAGAAAATGAATGTTCAAAATATTGTGAAAGTTGAGATTTTTTTTTGTTTTTCATTCCATGGAACAACCAGTAGTGAGCTTTGGCTTTCGGACTTGCTATCCGTCCCTCTGCTACAGTAATTGGGTCGTAGGACCCTTTAAACCCGCATAAATGAATGTGGAGGAGGGGAAATGAAAGAATGCATCCCTTTTAGCTTAGTTTCATTATTTTCTATCTATTTGATTTATCAGACCACTGCATGCTCACATAAGTACGATGAAAATCGGCGGCTACTGTACAAGGATTTAGATTTAAGGTGATAAATATTTAATTAAACATATTTTTCAAAAATTTATATCTCCCCAATTATTAAAAATTGATTGACAGTATTATACTTCAAATAGATCGATTCAACATACAGAGTTACATAGCACCAAAACCTATAAAATTTACATATGTACTTATAAAGAATTTCTGTTAATATGGATAATGAATCTTTCGAAATCTGGAGAATCTCGCCCATCAATGTCTTCGCCACCGACACACCCAGGCGGAATGATCGAATTGCCGGAGTTGTGAGGGAGGAAAAAAAACAGGAGACTAATGTCTTAACAAATCTGGCAAGAATCACATGCAATGCCATTTTAAAACACAATTTCTAGTATTTACACTTTATTCTCCAATCAACCTATCCCCATCAACATTGGTAACGGCGGGCAGTCGACACCTAAATTCCTTAGCCTCTCATTTTACTTGTGGCGTTTTGTCTAAGTGCGGTTTAGTCACTTTTTTCTCTGCTCTTCCTCGCTATCCTCTTATGTTGGAGATTTGTATCTCGATATGTGGAAGAAGGTTGTGGAGTTGGAGCACATGTTCTAGAAATTCCTCAAGTTAGTTGATGTTGACTAGAAGCCGATGCATGTGCTCGCAGAAAGCAAAGAAACAGTGCAACATAAGACATAAATCTTTATTAAGATTTTTTTTCTTTCTAATTGTGATCTCCCTCAACCCAAAGAAGGGGAGTGACGAGATATGCCTCTGTTGCGAGTTCAGAAGCAAAACAATGATTACATCATTCATAGAGGTGTTATTTTTTTATTCTAATATTTTAAGTGTTTTTTATGTAAATAATAATTTTTGGGTGTGTAATATATAAATTTTATAGTTTCAAGTGCTATGTTCGTAAAACCTTTTTTATAAAACTAACTAAGTCGAATTTCAGGGAGTGCGAAAATTGGGGTATATATCAAAATTGCTAATTTTTTCGCTTGCTTTCACAAAATTGGGCGTTACAATCATTGCTAGTAGGGAAAATAGTAGAAACTCAAAAAATAAACTTTCATTAAATATTAAAATAAGATTACAGCATGATTCAAACAAAAATAACAGCCCAAACACCAAACGACACAAGAAAACACTTCTAAATGTATTTCAATGGGTGGTGGAGGTTGGCGAGGTGGGTCGGGATAGCTAGCAGGGCTGGTGGCAGCGAGGGCAAGGTGTGGAACCGTAGGGACAGAAAGTGGGAAGGATTTTTGGTGGTCGACAGCGGTAGTGGGGTGGATGGGAGGAGCTCAAACGGGGTTAGGAATGTTGGCAACAGTAATAGTCTGTAGGATAGAGGGCGGCACAGTGCTGGGGTGATGGAGGAAGAGTTCGGTGGCTGAGGAGTTGGGAGGAGAAGGTTTGGGGAAGTTAAAAGGGAAGGATACAATCATCATCTCGGAGAATGATACAGTTGGAGCACCACCATCTTCTTGGATACAACCCACGAAAGGGAAATGTATTCCATACAGGAGATCTAAAGACACTATAATCTGAACTGACTCTCTACATACCTAGGACAACTATTTATAGGCTCCCTCCGGACGAGGGAAGCTTCTACACAAAGGAAGAGAGTAAGAAGTTTAGAGAAATTCAGAAAGCACTCCCTGGAACAGCAGATTTGTGATGCCCTAAGCTGGATTGCGCTACTGCCCGAACAGAGTGTTGTTTTAGCGCTCGTAATCGGGGCGTTGTTTAGCACCCGTAACCGGGTGTTGTTTAGCTCTTGTAACCGGGTGTTTTTTAGCGCCAGGTTACGTCGTTCGACACCCCAAACCATGCATTGTTTTAGCGCCCTGAACCGAGCATTGTTTTGGCGCTCGTATCACCCATTCTATGGAAGGGTTCTAATCTTGTATCAGAGATTCTTTGTTGATTGAGATTTCTTGAATGAAATAATGAGCTACGGATGTTTTTTTCATATATGCTTTATATATTTCTTTCTAATTACTCTCATTTTTCTTTGTCTCTCGTATATTTGTTTTTGTGAACAAGAACTAGTCTAGTTGTTATCAAAGCCTTGTTAAGTAACGGGGCCTTAATCATTGTAAATATCTACTGCAGCATCTTTTTCTACTCTCACAAATTTTCATGTAACATCCGTCATGATATTCTAGGTTTTGTGCCAACCGGGAAACCTCATTGCACATCCCCTTCGCTTCATTAAGTTCGCTTGTGTCCACTTCTATCTCATGTGTTAGTTATATTTGCTTCTTCCATTCCCTCGCGTCCTTCCTATGTCGTTGGCACACCCACACAGTAGTTGCTCCATCTCACTGCTGTAATCATAAATCTTAACTATTTTAGCGCATGGCCCTGCACCCCATCCATAACTGCCTTCACTCTCAACCCTCATCAGTGCTAGTGCCTCCACGTCATGCTCATCTTAACGTTACTTCACATAAACTCTCACTTGTCGCTTTTGGATTAACAGTTCCTGTTTGCTAACACTACTCTATGTGTACTCTTATCATTTGTATATGCATGTGCCAATGTGCTTCACTCACTCGCTTTCAATATTAATTATTGTTATGTAATGTCATTCACGTGAAATCTCACAGTCCACTGTATAAGAATCTTTTATGCTGCATGTACTCGCTAATCACTGATATTGGTCCCTTCCCTTTGATTCACTTCTTGTAATCCTAAAGATATCTTCCTGCTCTTCTCCCTTCCTACCATGATCGAGTCGAGCCCCCCACGTCATGT